GGGGGTATTCGTTGAATTTTCCCAGTCGAGAACATTGTTTTTACTGGTGATATATACAACGTTCACTTTGAACGCAGCGATTCACTGCGGTGCATTCAGGTCTTCATTATCGAGAGTGGGGCAATGCGTTGCTGACAAATTGATATATGTTATCGGGAATTTCCTGTTATCGGCCCGATAATTATCGTGCACCCCTAATTTTATTTATGGATTATCCGATGATTCTGTGTAACAAACAGTGGCTTTACTTTTAAATATAATTCAACTTCAGCATATATAAAAATATAACTCTTCAGGTCAACTGGTCATCTTTATTCATGTATAAATGAATAGTGTATGAATTTGGTTTTGTTTGTAATGGCCTTTGTTGTATGAATGTGTGTATAGGTAAATATGACATGAGCCTGTTTACACCCGAAATTAGAATGCGTCTTCACGTGTCTCCAGTGACCACTTGTGATCAGATCTGGCTTCCCCTGCTATATAGGGCTGTACCCTACACAAAATGTTGTCATTCATTGTCCAATATTACTGCGTGTTTTTTTTTTTTCCCCAGTTCAGTGACTAACCCATCACTCTTACCTGCGCTGTGAGCAGCCCTGGAGGAAAGACATTTCCTGCACTGTGGGATTTTATAACTGAAATTTATGAGCAGGACACACACTTTTGCTGTTTTGAATGTGTGGAAATCTTATGTTTTTACATCACAGATGCTGAAGAAAGACATCAATGCCAGGGAAAATAAGAGTGCATGTCGTGCGCCAAAATAACCTTTCACAAAGTTTCAATGAATAACTCCTAAAATTGTGCGATTTTATTTAAGGAAATCTGGGGATATTGACAGACAGTGTGTTCACAAATATCTGCTACTTATTTTGGCAAGCACATAATTTGCATTACAGTGAAGTAAACAGACAGCACATTTTCAAGATGTCAGTTAAGTCGGGAACCAGAAATGTCTCCTATTGCTAAGTCATATCTAAGGGTCGTCCTATTTATTGAAGTGGTGAACTTTTCCATTGCACAAGGGCATTATCCCTTACATAAATTATGGTACATTTTGGTCCATTTTGATTGACGATTTTTTGTCTTTTTTCATGGGGTTTAACATAGAACTCTCTCTCCCAACAGAGACATAGCTCTCTTTAGACTTTTTAATGGTTCCTTTACACAATCAAACAGCTCTATAGATAGACATAGTACTAATAAAAACAAAATATTCTCAAAGACTGGAAGAGACCTACTGCACCGTGCTTTGGAAAGTGGTTGCATGAACTTGTTTTAGTCATTCACATGAAGAAACTGGGATCTAATAATTTAAAATGTGTCTATGTTTAAAGGTCCAGTGAGTAACATTTAGGAGGATCTATTGGCAGAAATGGAATATAATATTCAAAGGTTGGTTTTCATAAGTGTATACTCGCCTATATTCCTGTTTTCATTACCTTAGAATGAGATGTTTTTATCTACAGAGAGGCCTCCATGTTGAACCGTCATATTTCTACAGTAGCCCAGAATGGACAGACCAAACATTGCCTCCAGATTTTCTTTTTGGAAGAGTTTTGCAGCCACTGTAGTTTGTCCTACACACTTAGAAGGCTGAGCTGTATTCAAATGGTTGCAATCTGCAACTTAACCGCTAGATGCCACTGAGTCCTACACCCATGTCCTTAAAGTTGGTTTTTGAGCATGGATTTGTGCATTTACAATATTAACAGAGACGTATAAAAGTTGGTCTTACCTCCACAAGAACATCAAATACATCAGTAGACCACAAAGCCAACCAATCACATGGCTCCACCACCTTCTCCAGGTAGTCTGCTGTGAAGGCCTTCACTTCAGAAGGCTTACAGTCTCCTACACAGATTTGGCCAAATATACATACAAGGACAAAGGTAAGGTATGTAATAACTAAGGATTATTATTATATTGCATTTGTGTAGTTAGTCTACTTACCGAGCATGTAGTCCTGGTACGCCTTGAACCTCTCATAGAACAGCAAGTGGCTGGTCTGAAAGGTGTCAGGAAGACTTGAATTCACACCTCCATGACGCTCACATCTCTGCAGCTGAGTCCCTGACTTTTCAGTGTTAAAGTGGTCTGTCCCACTGTCATCATCCTCATCATCACTCTCATCTTCCTCACCCTCCTCTTCATTCTGAAACAGAGCTTTTGGGAAAAACATACATTTCATGAAAGAGGTTCTCTTTCCTTTTGCTGAGTCTGGGCAAGTGCAAATCTTCCCTAGTTCTAACCTAAGTGTTTACTAAGTAGAGTTTTTAAAAAATCACCAAATTGAAACATGTCACAATTTTATGTAGAGATTAATTCGTACTAAATATGTACACCCATGAACTGCCAGATGTAACTTTTATGTAGCTAGCTGAACCAACTGGAAAAGCTAACTTGCTAATATGTGAGTTTGTTCTATATATCCAAACTGAAATTTGAGAAATGCCATTTAATAATGATGACATTTACAAAAATCATCTCTATGACTCTAAACTAGGGATGGGCATGATTAATCGACGATCGATTAATTGATCATTAAGAATTTCGTCGATGACGTTAATTTTTCATCGATAAAACTAATGCAGGTTCTGTTGCGTAGTGTGAGTCTTGAGGAATGCAATGAATTTCGCTTTGTGTGGCATGCGGGATATAAACATTTTTATACAGGGGATATTTTGAAAAAAAAAAAACGCACAGGCCTACTCGTTTACCTCGATTTTCCGTGTATTCAAAGTAATCATGAAGAGGACAGAGGTTCACGGCGAAGTGTGGTGGTGGGACATTTTTGATTAAACAATGCTAGTTCACTGCCAACCTGCGAAGTTTGTATAAGTACAACACGTGGCACGATCAAATGATGTACCACTTGAACAACGCGCATCCGACCCTGGTTAGTGGCGGTGCATCCTGCTCTCAGTCTCCTACCATCGACTCGATGTTAGCACGGACACAGAGGAGTTGTGTTTATGAGCACCGGCTTCTAGCTGTAGGCTCCGCTGCTTTAGAGCACAGTAGCGCATATCAAGTGTAACCATTGAACGGATCCGGTTTAACTGCCACAAGAGTTGTTCATATTGTAATAACGATCTCAATGAGGAAAACACACTGTGTTTTTGTATTTTCATTGCATTTTGAATATAGCATATAAATAGTGAATTTTAATATAAAAATATTAATGATTAATCGAAAATCGATCATTAATTCTCCCGACGACTGACTAAGACAATTTAATCGAATGCCCATCACTAGTTGGGACCTTCTTATTTGCGCCCAGATGATCCACCATCTGCTGTATCTTGGGGACGAAGAGAGATTCTCAGGAGATGGGCATGTAGGGAAGTGTGACTGTTGGCAACTTGAGTAGCGCATATTGCTCTTCTGCACTACTGTCACTGGTGGTTAGCTTAGTTCTCTGTTGCACACGGCGGTCTAGAGAGCTGGCAAGCAAGCTAGGTTGTTAGTCAGCACAACAGCCCGAGTGATACCCACGAAACAAAGAGGTCTAAAAGGCTGGTGATGAACTCTCTCTCTACTCTCTCTAAAGCAGACAGCTGCCTGGCCAGAAGGAGAAGAATAGGAGGAGGCAGATCCAGACTGTGGTGACTACTGTGCCCTCCGAGCATGTTGCACAGATTCCATCTGTGAACCAAAAACACAGTTTGGCAGGGCTTGGTGATGAGGTTCTCTATCAGGCTCTGGGGAGAGGAAGGAGTGGAATCCCCATTCACTGTGCTGCAGCCTGGAAAAGCCTAGTGGTAACGCAGAGTTCTTCCTCGAGGAGCACCACAAGGCATTCCTCAAAGAAGGTTAGAAACTGGTTACAGCAGGATTATCTGCCTCTGTCTGGTGGCACCAGCCGAGTGGTCAAACACATTCTACAGGCACTTAAGAGTGAGCTGAAAGTGAACAGGGCAACCATCTGATAGGGAGGTAGGCACAAAAGTTGTCTCAGGTGCCAGTGCAGAGCCTTACTGGGGGTTATGAAGCCTTAGAGGTAAGAATCCTTTTGAAGTGGATGCAGTTAGTGAGCTGAAGCTTCCTCGTTTGCAGAACTCACACATCTGTTGAATTGTTTCTTTCATAACAATGCCTATTCATTATCAAGTAACACCTTCACCCCCCCTTAAATCACTGCTTTACAACATCTTCTGCTGATCTTATGTGACACTGTGTTTACACTTTCATGCATTGAGGGTATGAAGACAATGGACAAGGGATTTACCCCTATCCATGTAGGATTGGCTCACAGGTCCAAGACCTGGACCTGTGTGTATGAAAATGTCTGCATGGGTGATGGAGCAAGCCTGGTTGCATCAAAAATATGAGTAATTATGTTCCATCAGGTGGAACTGATCCTAAATAAGCACACCTGGTCACAGATGCTCAACAAAAAAATCTTAAATGTGAATGAACCGAAACATTTGAGTTTGTTTTTTTGCATCGCACTGGATTTTAAAATGAGGATCTTTTGGAGACACTCCAAACAATCATTCTTTACGCTTAAAAGGAACAAAGCTTGCATCATTACTTGCAAGTCTGTATTTTCATTTCATATTCTTAACAAGTCTTCTTAATCGGAGTGTTTGATCCGGATGCCTGATGCCTTCTGACAAACACTCCTGATAAAGCTAAACAAAAGAACACATTATTAGTGATTAATATTCATCAAGAACACAGGGAGCCCAATGGGAATATTTGGTTGGTGGAAGGCCCTTAAGCAGACATGTCAGTACCTCCAAATATGTGAACTGAATTACTGAAGGCTGCTCATGTGTGGAATCTGGCTGCTATGGCAACAGCTGGCAGGTGGCGGGTGCAGGGCTTTTGTAAACATGTGAAGTGTGGTCATGTGACAGGGGGATGTGACATCTGCAGCACTGCTGACCTTGGGGGGGCAAGAAAAATATCATGTTTCTTTTTTTTTGCTAACAAGGGGCACCTAAGACTTCACTGGGATAAAGCATTCTCTGTGAATGTTTGTATGTGTGTGTGTGTGTGCATCCTAACCAAAGATGTTAAACCAAAGTCACTGCTGAACAATTCATTTTTTCAATCAGTAAACTAAGAGAGTACAAAGGTAAAAAAAAAGTCACATTGCTCAGCAGTTTCTGACATGATACCCACAAGTTTCAATATATGTTAAATAACATTTCCAAAATGGCATATATGCACAGAAAAAACATTAAATTGCTGGGATAAATTTACATATTAAATGATTCACAGCCATGAATACATTTTTAGCTTCGACTCCTTCCCCCAACACACACATTGTCCTTGTTAGGATCATCCATACAGTAAATCACAGCTGTCAGATAGTGCAGTGTTTTGACAAAGACATCACGTTAATGAATGAATACATTTTCCTTATGCTTGATTTCATCTGCTTATGCAGATACCATACCTGTCGCTTTTATCAGTGAAGCGTAATGCCAATTATCCATGACAAAACCTCCAAGACACAGTTCATATATTAGGTCTGGATGGAAAGATTGATTTGTTACATTTTTGTATTTACTGTAGATTTACAATAAAGGGATTGAAATTAAAAGCCACATGGACTCACGTGTGCTTATTGAATGGACAGAGATTTGATGACTTGTCTGTGAGACTGAAACCAAATCTCCATGGTTTGGATAGGCATGTGTATTTATGACAACTTTAAGCTAGCATAAAAACTTTAGCTATAAGATGTCCACATTTATCTGTGTATAAATGTACCTGTCATTGTGTTGGATGGGCAAAGTGAAAACAAGTAATGAGAAAATTGCTTGGCATGACCGAAAACTGGGAATGATAACATGCAGTTTGAAAGGCGCTGTTCACTTCTGCCCTAATTAACCACAAAAAAAACCAAGATCCAAAATAAATCATTGGGACTATTACTGACCAGTTATACAAAGGTTTGGACATCTTTACACACCAATGAACACTAAGTTAAACTGTAATTTATTGTTAAACAATATCAAATGAAAGCAACTGGTGGAGTTTTTGTTGAACCAGGTGGCAGTCTTACCTATCCTGTCCAATCTGTCAATGGCAACTGTCTCAAAGGCCCTCCTCATCATGGGATACTCCTCCAGCACCTCATTGAAATTGTCCACAGAGAGAGAGTACAGGCGACAGTAGGTGTCTGCTCGCACACTGGCCGTCCGTCTGCCACGGGTCAGCAGGCAGATCTCTGATGGGGTGAAAGAGAAACCAGACAGGACACAGTCAGATCACAAGATGGCAGACAGACATATTTCCGGGTGTCATACTGTGATAGAGAAAAGAACAGAGATGCTATAAATGAGGAGAGATTTGTCAAGCAGTCTGAAAATGGCATCCCCGCTATTAGACTATTACAAAACAACATGCACAAAAGATCTTTTATTGAAGACGATTAAAATTTTTGCGGCTTGAAGTCTTGTCAGGAAGTTCTTGGTTTGTAGCCTGAGCTGATGTCCATATGCATCAATACTACTAGAAGTGAGTAATTCATACCACCTTAAGCCAAACATTCACTCTAAATATCACTTTAGGATACTGTATGTGCAATAAGTTTGATTGTTTTCCATACACTTTGGCCCAAACGTTCAGGGTCATTTCAGTCATTTAAATATTTGGATTCATCAAGCGTTTGAAAGTCTGGGCTGAAATTCCAGGCCTTAAACAAATGTGTGCTCAGAATGAAATTGGTTTTGCATGCAGTGGCTGTGTGTAGTCAGTCTGACCCACTGACAGAAAAACAGAGTATTTCCTCCAGCACTGACAGCTGTGTGAAGGACTCACACTCTATATTTGGAGATGTGCAGCTAAGCTTCATTACGTTCAGTTGTTCGCCTCCCTTTCCCCCAGTATCTTCTTCTCTCTAGCTTCTTTTATGGGCTGGAGCTGACTGTCTTGACAACCATATGCCCCCCTCCCCCCAAAAAAAGGTCAACCTCCTCTGACTCTCTGTGGGAAAGGGAGAAAAATAACGAAACACAAGGACTGTTACTGAGTGTTCGTGACTGTGGTGTCTCCAGCAGCAAGCAGGGTGCTTCAGAAACCAAATAAACCAGGAGGGCTTCAAGAAAAACTGAAGACACACAAACCTATGGATATCATTTAAAAGCATAAAAATAATAGTCAGTCTTTATACTAAGCTACTAGCTAACTGGCTGCTGGTTCTAGCTTCCTATTTACTGCACAGACATGACATGGTATCAATATTGAAGAAAATTTCTAACTATTCTTTTGAGGCAAAAAAAAGTTGTAAGATCAACCATCATGGCAGGATCTAGGCCAGGGGTTCCCAAACTTTTTCATGTCTTGGACCCCCACAATAGATGCACATTAGACTACAGAGCCCCAATTTGAGTGGGTTTTGTCTTAAGGAATATTTTTTATTTTATTTTTAGGTTTGAAGATAATAAAGTTTTCATAGTCAATCAATGATCAAACTGGGATCACTAAAAATTACAATCAATCTAAACAGCCAAGCCTAATTCTTCCCTTGTTCCAACCGCCAAAAACTGTGAAAATCATTTATTTCTGCTGGGGATCCTGACAACGCCCTCAAGGACCCCGTTTGATTCCCGGAAAACCACTGATCTACGCCTCAACTGCCAGACATTTTCAGGGTGTCTTCCCTTGCATATAAACACTCAGACTGTCTGTATACAACAGATGCATACTGTACATACGGTACATTCACATACACTGACACACACTCACCGACTATGAGTCAAGATACAGTAGCTTTTTATTCAGAGGTTATTTAAGTGTGACCTTGGGCATGACCATGTGTTTTGCCTATTTGATAAAGGATTTATATATCCTCAGTAGATTAATGATTAATAGCCTCTGCAGATAGACGCTCTACAGCTTAATGGAAGTAAAAGCTGTGGGATGTAAAGCTCTTTAGACACAACACACAACTACGACATGTAGTCATAGTATTACTCTGTCTACTGATGAATTTGTTGATTCTAAATATAAAGCATAGTCAAATTAGCTAAATGTCAGTGTAAATACATATTAAGTTACAAGTTTACACATTTTATTTTTTTCTGAGTTTTGTCTAGTAATGTTCGAGAAAGTTTTAAGTGTTACAGATTCAACAGTTTTGTGAGCTTGGTGGAAAAATCCAAAAGAAGCCCCAGATGTCCTTTCATAAATTGTCACTTGGGATCTTCCTTGTTATGCATAACACAACCATTTGCATTTTACTTGTATCATTAGTGGGAAGTGCTGGATGTGGATAACTAATGAAACCATCGGGGCGGCATTAAAAAGCTGTCCAAACCACTGGGTAACCATTTATAGCTTGTGGATGGGACAACTGTCATCCTCAAATATCATTAAAAATACAGAGAAATCCAGGATGGGTACAGTGAATTTTAGCAGTGATTTGAATATTCCAAGCACTGTGTGCATTAATGACTGACCTTTAGCCTCAGATACACTGTTTCCTGTTCCCATTAGTAGAAACTATAATTTCCTAAATCCTCTTTTACAGTTTTATTGCCTGATATGTTCCCAGTGAAACTCATCCTGTTTCTGGTACTCATATAAACATATTCTCTCCCTTGTTCTCGTTCAGAAAATGTATGCCAGTTCATAGATAATCAGTTAACTACATAAGCCGCTCCATCTGCAGTTTATATATAAATATAAATTATTTTAATTACAAGACACAAAAGTGACTTTGAGGCAACATATTGGGAAAGCTTTGGCAGTTCAGACTAGTCACAACAGCAGTAACACAAACCTCTGCAGACTAATAGTCAGCTAGTGAATTTGCAAATCTACAAAACTCCAAATATTGTTACCAAATCCAATTTAGGCAAGCATAAAACAGTTATTTAATGAACAAATGCTAAGTGATGGATGAACAAGGGGTACAATGTGTTTCCAGATAGTAACTTCCAAAGAAATAAACAACAAACAAGTAATTTCCCCACGGGGATTATTAAAGTATTTCTGATTCTGATTCTGATTCTGAAATAGCCAAAAGCTGCAGACTCAGCTGCATTTACAGCCATAGAAAATAGTATGCAAAGCTCTGTCTCATTTCTAAATGTATTAATACAATAATGGAACCGATCCAACCAAGGTTTACCAATGAGGAACGTGTGCCAATAGTACAGGCCAAGAAATCGAAATGACAGGAGATACAGTATTGCTTTTCTGTAGCATGTGTAATCAACACTCTTTGTCTGACTCCTAATGTTTCTAACCCCTAATCTTAATACATTCTATAAATATGAATTGGAACAAAGTCACGTTTGGCCTGACATCACTATGTACTTCCTGCTACTAACTAATTGAGAGATTTTACCATAAATACACACAGCACTGCACCACCCTGCTGTGGTTAAACCATGTTGTCCCTCCAGTTCAAGCCTATGAAGAGACCTGTGATTTCCTCCCTGAAGGCAGGAAGGACTATTACAAATGGTGCCTATCATCACCGTTGTGCTGTGCTAATTAGCTGTTATTAATTGGATGAGTGTATGTGTGATGTGTACGTGCGTGTGTGTCTTTACCACTCCAACAGTGCCCTTTGGCTGCTGGCACATCAACATTACTGCCGATGAACTGCGGTCCGCTGCAGAGAGCACCGGATGTTAAAAATGCAGCCCAAACCATCAACCCACAAGACATAAAACTGTGTGTGTGTGTTTGTGCACGCCTGTGTGGGTTCATGGGTGGCGATAGCAGCAGAAGCACCACAGGTTTTTAAACAACCACAGAGAAACAACAGCCTGAGAAAGTGGGACAGAAGTTAGCTGTGAGGCAGGACTGCACAAAAAGTCCAAGCAGAATGTCAGGGTGCTGTTTTATTCCCTTTATCTGTTTGTTGCTACAATATTTTTATGTAAATAGTAAAGACATTTGTGATATTACTGTAGTGGATTTCATTTGGATGTAGCAGATTTCGAAGTGTAAACAGAGTGTAAATGCCTGCAAGCATTGAATAAAATAATTTCTTATATTATATTATGTTCTACCCTATTATTTATGTTGTGTTATGTTCCTTTCCATGTTGTTCTATTCTAGTCTGTTATGTTATATTATGTTTTACTCTACTCAGTTATCTTCAATCCTATTATTCTGTTCCATTGTGTTAAGAACAGAATAAAATGGAATATAGTAGAAGAACAGAGTAGAATATAACTGTTCTGTTCTATCCTATCATTCTATTATATTAAACTTCTTTCTGTTATGTTAAATTAAGTTCCATCCTGCTTCATCCTTCTATTTTGTTGTTATAAACAGAACATAATAAGATAGAACAGAACACAATAGAATAGAGCAGTAAATGATGATCCTAAGGTGACAAAGACAGTGACATACCACCAAAATAGGATCCATCCATCAGCTTCATGCCGATGCTTCCTTTGGTGAGGACGGTGACCACCCCGTGCTGGATGAAGTACATCTTCTTGCCGATGGTGCCCTCTCTGACAATGTAGTCTTTGGGCTGGAAGACTTCAAATCTCAGTTTGGTCAGCATGGCTGTCACAAAGTTGGGATCAGCGTTGGCAAACAGTGGCATGGAGGCCACCAGCTTACGGCAGTTGAAGTTGACGATTTCCTTTATGGTAATAGGAAACGGCGTGGGATCATAATGTTGTATTGGATGTCATAAGATTGTCTATCTCAGTTTGTGTTTCCTTTGAAGCAAGCGGACCTTGTTATCTCTCTACTGGAGTAAACATGGAGTTTCTGTTGGCAGCATGAAAAACTTTTCTGTTTCTTTCTTTTAAAATTCAGTAATTTTAAGTAAGTTCAGGTGACTACCTTGCAGTAAGTAAGTAAATCGATACAGAAAGTTCTGGAAATTACATTTTTAACTACCAGGTTATGTGTTTTTTTGTGCAGAAGGAGACTACAGCTGTTGTAATCAATTTATTCTGGTCCACTTACTCTGTGGGAGAGCTGAGAAGTGTGTGTATTTGTGGGTGAATGAGCAAGTGGATGCTTGGGTGTTTTCATACCTCGCGCAGAGGCTCATTAAGCTCCTCCAGGATGCTCTCTTCATCAAACATCTTGCCCTGGTATCTGTGCTCATAGTAGTCATGGATTTTCTGTCGGAAGTCGGCTGGTAGTTTGTGGAACGACATGTACTGCTCCACTTGTTTGTACTGGAGAATGGAGAGAGGCATGAGAGATAGTAGTGAGGAGAAACAGAAGCATGAATCAATGAAAACAGCACTCAGCAGCTCTTTTGTTAATTGTGACAAGAAGAAGTTTGAGAAGTTTGTTTTAAACTGCAGCATCATGGCAAAATCACAGCAGCTGTGGGCATGCCGTGCATTTCTCATTTATGCTCAAAAGGTTTTCTCAGTCTGTCTTATCATCAGCCGTAGCTCGTTCATGTCTGCAGATTTTGAGACATACAGATTTGCAAACATGAAGATCCTGTGATCCACTTTTTTCTTGGAGCTATGAGGGGAAAGCTGTGATGAAGCTGTTAAGGAAACATGACAGCTCTGTTAAGCCCACGAGGATTCATCACGCTCTACTGTGTCTAGAGAAGAAAGATGCTGCTATTGTACATCTTATCCACAGTGAGTCTCTCTCTGTCTCTGGTGGTCTCGGTGTACAAAATGTTTTATTTTGAAAGGACAAATCTACAAAAAAAATATTATCAGGCTTTGGGGAAATGTGTCTATTGTTGTTCTGTGTTTTTTATTTTCATCAAATTCATCAAAATATATGAACTCTTCCATGATCTGTGAAGACCAGAAAAAAAACTATACAGGTAAATGGAACTAGTGAGCATTTGTGTACCCATGTTACTATTCTGAGAAAGGAAGATGTTTGTTATTTATGTTGGAATTGATAAATATGTAACTATGTAGCTAGCAAAAAAAATAAAAAATGCTGAAAATGGAAGTTGGCTGCAGCACATTGTGTTTGCTCACCCAAGTGATTCACACCATCACATATTTACCACTGTTATGTTTATCTACATCAAATGCAGCCTGAATGTCCACTTCTCTCAACTCGTTATGATGCTCCATAACACATTTCATGCCTGGATTCCCTGTGAAAATAGCAGCTGCTATAGCTTCTCTCACTGTACACAAAATGGCTCTTGGGTTTGTTTTATTTATACCAGGAAGATGGTATGTGGTTTGCACGTCACCATCTTCCTGTAAAAAAAAAAAAAAAAATATTAATATATATATATATAATATTATTATATATATCACATATATATATATATACACCCTTACATTCACACACAACAACATCTTGAGGGTGAAAGAGTGGCCGCATAACTTGAGAACGGTTCACTTCCTGTTGCATTAGCAGCAGACTCACTGGTATATGAAAAAAGCAAAAATCTCATTGGGTAAAAAAACAAACAACAAAAAGAAAACCTTGCAAGCTGTAATATAAAATATGAATGAAAATAATCTTTTCATTAACCCAAAGACAGAAACGCTGTTTTAAAACGTATCAATACTGTGCATCCTTGTGGCCCTGTTGTTTGAATGGCTTTTAAATGTTACATAGGTATCCATACTGTGTTTGTGTTTGTGTGTTAAGCAGCATGAGTCATCCCATCCCATCCCAGAGCAATACAGATAAAATCCTCGATCACAATACATCTATTTTACTTTGTGATATCAATATACATCATGGCATTGTGCATTTTCTGGAAAATTCATCGCACTGATAATATATTATGTACATTTCTACCACATTATAACATGTGATGTGTATGTTGTCTTGCAGTTTATATGCAGTGTTGGATACTGACGCATTACTTCCTAACGTGTTACAGTAGTGTCGTGACTTTTTACAGTAATGACCAGTGTAAGGGGATTACAATTTGACATTCAGTAATTACATAGCAATTATTAATCCCAGTAATTCTCTGTGACTTTGACCTTTTAGGAGTCGGCTCATTGATTGTTTTACCGGTTCTGTATATTCAGTGGACCGACTGGTCCAGGACGTGTTAGCTTGGCGCACAGAGGTACAGGAGGTTGTTCTACCAAAGGAGGAGAAAGCTGTCTTATTTACTGTTAAGTCTTCCTAGCTGGCAAGTCAACATTCAGGTTGAGAGTTGTTTAAAGTCACCTTTAATGGAGCTGGGCGGATGCACCTATTTACTTTTAGACAATGTATTGACTGAGGTGTAGAAATAGTGCAGTATATATAACAGAAGATGATCTCTAGCTGCCTCTGTGATACATGTATCAAGAGGAATCCAATTCTTTAATCATCTAGAGTGCCGATACCTTCCTGCTTGTGAGTCTTGACCACACAGTCACGAAGGACACACCACGTATGGAGGACCGTGGGGGCACTGACAGTGACCTTGCCTGTAACAGTCGATGACACATGCATGGGATAGGATGGCTCGCTGTCAAGGAAATTGCATTTTGTCACACTGTAAGGTGACATATGGGTTAGAGAAGAAAATGCCGGCTTGACCCTGGTGGCATTGGTGACACGACAAATCACAATATCCTTAATACAGCACAGACTGGCTGACATGGTAGCACATCATTCATTTTGTTTCTCTACAGGAGGATTTTCTTTCCATAATTTAAAGCAGACAGTGGTTTTTATGAAAGGGAAAAAAAACTGGTTTACGTAAGAATTGCAATGTCGGTGGAAGAAAGTGATTTGTTCCTATTTTTAATGTTTTTTGTTCTATTTGTTCTTCAGTGTGATGTATATACTGCAGAAATAAATACATACACAGTGATACAGTTCAGCATGACCTTAAACGTGACAAAATGAAAATCCGAGTGGATCACTTACTTTAATGAACCCATTTATGAAATTACATCTGCAAAACAATTTACTGCATCCTTCTTTTTTACGTAAACCAATTTTAATCTCAATCTCTTTTAGTCTTAATTAATTGCCTCAGGCCATGGTTCATTTAGCATTAAAAGCCATGGCAGTGCTAAATGAAAACCTTACAGCTCGTCATCCTCAGCCATCTTTTCAGATTTCCAACTCAGCTGGAAAGTAGACAGATAATTCAGACAACAACAATCTGAATTATTAAGATATATCTGTTTAGGACATAAGAGGGGATTCCCTAAAATGAATGTACTCCCAACCAATAAAACAATAAAAGGACTAAGGCCATTTCACCTAAACCTGACACATTTCTCCCCATTTTCCATGTGTCAGTAACAATAAACAAGCAGCTGACTTCCAGAGAATCTAGCTCATTCAATCAAGCGTGGGAATAAACTGGGAGGCTCCTATTAAGTGTTTCCTGCCTCGGGATTCAGTGTGTGGCAGTCTCAATTAAACTGAAATGACAACTCTCTCTCTCTCTCGTTCCCTCTCTTCTTTAAAAGTGGTTGTTGAAGGATCAGAGTTTTATTGACTTTCTAATTTTTTCAGCATTAGACTTAGATCAGTGACCATGTCACTCAAACTCAGTGTGATATGAGTGAGACTCAAATTAAAAAAAAGGAAACCTTTTCACTTTTTTCACTACAAAATTTGATGTATGATGTAGAAGGGAAGCTGAGAGGGACATATAAAGAAAATATGTTTTGGAAATCTATTATGCATACTGTGTTGCTATGTGGCCATGTTTGTTTTGATGTTAAAGAAAAAAATAAAGGGGAAGATGGGAGAGATGACATTGAACTGTCAGTGAATGCTCTGACTCGGAAACACATTAAAGACATAGATAGAACAAATGCCCGTTTTTATAGCTAATACACATTGCAAAATTTCAAAGAAGGCAACAAAAACTTAAAAATACTCTCTAAGTCCCATTAATTTCAACACAGGCAAACATACACATGCCTGACAGCTAAGATTCTCCTAAACTGTAAATGCAGTGTCCGTCTTATAAAATCAAGCTTTGTGGCTGGGGATGCAGATAAGACCCTCCTGCAGTACTTTTATAAACTAACAAATGAATTACATTTCTCAAATCCAATCCGTTCCTCTCAGCCTGTGGACTTTGTTAAGGGGGGGTTGGGTGGGGACAGGGCAAGGCAGCACAGAGGTTTTTTATGGGACATAAAGCTCCTAGTTGGTGGCTTGCGAGCATGATGCATGGCTGTCACTGTAAGCTGCCACAGAGGGAAGGAAGAAATTGAATTGGGCCTCCTATTAATGGGCCATGTCACTGAGCGTCAGGGCTCAGGATGTGACAAGTCTTATATCTCTGTGTGTGTGTGTGTGTATGTGTATGTGTGTTTGTGTGTGTGTGTGTGTGTGTGTATAAAACCCAAGTTGACTTCAGTAGCATCCTTTAGCTCATGGGGGAGCGGAGACAGACCCACAGAAACAAACACACAAATGTGCACACAAACCCCTCAGGCACACACAAATCTGAGCGCATACACTCACTACACTCCCAATATGTGTGGTGATGATGACATGGAGGGACTGAAATAAACATGTCAGAAGAGACAAGGTTCACAGTGTTCATGTTATAAAATGTGTGATGTAAGTCAGCAAGTTTTTTTAAAAACTTGTATCCTGATTTTATTATTCACCAATATATTTCTAATATTAGACATTTGCTCTCTTTAAGAAGTGCACTTCATATATATAAACCAAAAATAAAAGAGAAATGCGAATGATCATTTCAAATAAATATTAGGTGAAGTTGAGCATGAAACTACACTCTTATCTCTGTATGAGTCTTTCCATCAACCATGAGATGTTGTTGAAAGCTCAAGAAAGTAAGTGGACCTTGATTTCAATTTGATTTTTTCTCAAACTCAAGCTGATGTGTCTAATCTATCAAATCAAAGTGCCAAAAACACCAAGTAGCGTAGTAGTGGTAAGTTATGAAGTCGCTGTTTGATTGTGTCAAGGCCCAGTGGCTCTGTGTTCATCACCGGAGGCCCCCAGGGGTCCCATCTCCCTCCTCTCCCCCCTGCTCTATGGCTCTTAAGGGGGAGGAAGTGATGAGGAGGAGTAGCAGGAGTGCAGTTACATAATGGCTAATGCCCTCTGTCCATGTGCGGTGTCCGCTGGCAGATGGTGTATTGCCCAACAGTCAAGGGCGAATGGACAGATGAAGCAGGGGAGGGCTGGAGATGAGAAAAGTGTTGTGGAGAAACACGGGATGAGGGCACCAGTCAACTCAACGTGAAGGAGGGGATGACAAAGGAATACTGAGCTGCTTGTTTTT